AGAGAAGTATATTTTTCTGTTTTGTTCTTGGCTTTTTCTCTATATCTGATTTGTTCTTTCATAAATATCGTACACATTCTCGATTGGCATAGCTTTGTGTTAATTTAGAAGTCACATTGTGTCAGTGTGTGTGCTATCTTTTCATAATCCTATTGATCATTCTATGCTGTGGGATGTCTTTCTGTATGCTTGAATATGCGTTGCTCCCTTTGGGTAATAAATAAAACTACATTGGCTTATGGCAGGAGCCAGGTGGGAAAATCCAAGAGAGATAGGAGAGGAGAAAGGAGAGTGGAGAAGATGCCAAACCGCCATCCTAGGAGCAACATGGAATGGGATGCAGGTAAAGCCATGGGAGATCTGGTAATGCATAGATCTATAGTTATGGGAGGAGTCAAGCTATAAGAACTAGCTAGCAAGAGGCCTGCCTTAGGCCATATAGGTAGTAATTAATATTAAGCCTCTGAGTGATTATTTTATAAGCAACTGTGGAACTGTGGAGCTGGGTGGGACAGGAAAAACTTGTGGCTAAAATTCTGAGTTTTTACACTTTGCATGTAGCTTTGGAATTAAATATCATGTTATAAAATTTTGGGAACACTCTTCAGATTGAATTCAATTCATGCTGCAAATTTACCAGATCCAACATCGTAATATTGATGCATAATGTTCCCAAGTATCATTTATTTACTACTTTATATTATTTAGGTTTTGTTGTTATTGTTGTTGTTAAATTATGAAATGTAGACAAATTTCAAAATGGTCTTATTAAATAAAAAACACAGAGCCAAATATAAGGGTGAAAGCCTTAGAGAGATCAGGGAAATAGGGAAAGCCACCAGCCAACCTTACCTCACCAACTCTGCAGCTTCCAAATGCGAGTTAGTTCCTGTCTACCCATGCACATATGCCTTGCCTTGCTGTTCTGCCATCTGATTTGCACTCTGTCTAACTACATCACTTCCTCATCCTGCCCAGCCTTGTCACTTCCTGTCTGTACGTACAGACCTCCAGAAATCCATAGTTAACTAGTTTTGATTTTAAAGCATGTGCTATACCACACCTGGCTCTGTTTCCAGTGTGGCCTTGAACACAGAGATCCTACCTGCCAAGTGACAGGATTAAAGGCATGTGCTAATACTGTATGACTTCTTTGTTTACTTATAATGGCTGTTCCCATTCCTCTGATCTCTAGGCAAGCCTTATTTATTAAAGCACAAATAAAATGTCACCACATTTCAGCACAATGAAAGACTTTTAGTTTCTTGGATTAAAAAGTACTAAGGGGCTTAGCAGGTGACTTAGCACATATTCTTCTTGGGGGTTTCCTGAGTTCATATACCAACACTCTAGTTGGAAGACCTCCAACCACTTGTTACTCCATATACTGGATATCTGACCCCCACTTCTCTGCTCTGTCACACTGAAATCATTTTCTCTCCCACACAAACATACACATAAAAATGGGAATAAACTTGTTTTTGAAAGTGTTTGTGACTTACAAAGCAATTAGAGCAAAACAAGTTTTGGGTTTTTTTAGGTATATAATACACATCACACTGTTTCTTTAAAAATGTGTTGTCTTGCATTTGGTTTTAATAAGATTTCTTTTGCTTACTCTGATGTTTACTTATATGCAATTATCCATCATATTATTCATAATAGCCAGGAACTGCTATGTCTGTAAGAGATTGTGTTGATTGATGATTGATGTGGGAAGGCTCTTCCACTGAGGTTGTAATATCCCTAATCAAGTGGGCTTGAGATGGATAAGAGAGCTAGCTAAGCATGAGACAGTGACGAAGCAAGAGAGAAAGGCAGTAAGTAGTTTCCCTGTGCTTTTCACCTTCAATTTTTTGCTTAAATTTCTATCCTAAGCTCTCAAAATGATGGACTGTGATCTGGCAATATCAGTCAAATAAACCTGTTCATTACCTGAGATGGTTTTGGTTAGAGAATTTAATCACAGCAAAAAACAAGCAAGTTAGAACAAAATGTGGTATACCAGAAGTAATTTTGTTAATGCAAAGGACCTTGGATTGATGACTATTGGAGGAATGTTGTAGATATTTGGACCTTGGTTGGCCAAATCCATAGAAAGCTGCACACATAGCTTAACTGGCTATTCTTGTAGGATTGGGAAGATGGGATCATTGAGAGCAATGCATACAGTGGAGCTTGAGGTCATAGGAATTCAGGGGGAATTGGACTCCATGAAAAATTTAGCTAGAGGTCATTTGTATAATATTTTGGCCCAAAATTGTTCTTACTTTCTCCATTCCATTAGAAATTGAGTAAGTCATAAATAAAAAGTAGTGAGCTGATTCCTTAGACAATATATTGATTCTGTTGCTTGCTTATTACTGAAGACTCATTCAGGTTCTACACTGAAAAACAAGTGGGGCAGAAAGAAATGAAAAGTCTGTGTTTTGTAGAGAAAAACGGCACTATGTAGTTTCAAATGACAGTCCAGTGGTGAAGCCAGCAGGTACTTTCAAGAAGACTGTTACTTTTAAAGAGAACTCCCTTGTTCTCTACAGTAGAAGCCTATCACTGTGTTCTAAGTGTAAGACTCCATCAGCTAAACCTTCATTTTATGGATGGATTGAGCAAAGTGATTTCTACTCCCAGGAGCAACTTTATATAGAGCCTGCTGTAACTCTGGTTGAAGCATGGCAGGGTCCATCACAACTTAAAAGGCAAATTTGGGCAGCATCACCCATGTTGTACTGGTTCTGGAAATAGGAAAGATGCACAATTTAAAGGTCTTAGATTCTTTCTCTGTGGTATCAGTTTAGCACTGTTGCACCCATCTATGTTTGGCAGAGTCAGAAACTCTGTGAGGAGGCTATGAGTGTTCATTGCATAAAGTTGTGAAGATGAAGCTGGGTTGCACTTTGAGACCATGGGATGTGGTGATATTTTAATTGTGCTGAAATGTGATTTTATTTGTATGTTAATAAATAAAGTTTGCCTGGAGATCAGAGGTCATAAGCGAGCCAGGAGCAGAATTCAGGTGGTGTAGCCCATGCCCTTAATCTGATCGCATAGCAGGCAGAGTCTGTGTGGTCAAGGACACAGCCAAGTGTGGTGACCCGAACCTTTAATCCCAGTACCAACCATAGAGACCTGGAGGTCTGTATAGACAGGCAGTGATGAGGAAGTCATGTGGTTGGGTTTAAAGCCAATGAGAAGGCAGAACAAAAAGGCAATAAAAAGACAAGTCACACAGGAAGAAGGTCTCTCTCTCTGGGGAAGTGACGGTGGGCAGGTGGTAAGATAAGGTGGTCTTGGCTCTTCGCTAGTGCTCTGATCTCTTGGGCTTTTAACTGTGTATTTGGCTCTGTGTTTCTTATTTAATAAGACTGTTTAGAATTTTGTCTACAATAGGTTGTTGAAATACCCAAGCTATAGGACATCTGCCATGGGGTTCTGCATACATGGAGCAGAAGTAGCAATGGAGAGACATGTATGAAAAGTTTCAGGGTTAAAGCTATCTAAGCCCTTTGAGAATAAAGCCCTATGTATCTTAGAGCTACAGGATTTGGTTTTTTGCCCTGCTGAGTTTTAGTCTTGCCTTGGTCCAATCTTACCTCTCTATACCTATATTCCTCTGTTTTCTTTTTTAAAATATTCTTTTTTAAAATATTTTCTTCTCTCACACAATACATCCCAAGTGCAGTTTTCCCTTCCCCCACCCCCGCTCCTTCCTATTCTCCTCTCCCCTAGATCCCCTCCTCTTCCATATCTCTTCAGTAAAGGGAAGATCGCCTATGGACTATCAACCAAACATGACACAACATGTTACAATAAGACTAGGCAGAAACCCTCATATCAAGGCTGGATGAGGCAACCCAGTAGGAGGAAAAGTTCCCAAGATCAGGAATAGTGTTAGGGGGTACTGGAAGTATGGAGGAGGTCCATGGGTAGGCGTCCTACATGCATATTGGATGGCTGGTATGGCTTCTGGTCCAAAAGGGAGTCTTTGCCTGAGTCTGTCTATGTGTTCTTCTGGCTTATATGGCCTGTACTTGAACAGAGGATGTCCAAGTTGGTGGTGGCTGGAGGGTTGGTGGGGGATTGTGTCTATGAGAACAAAAAGAATTAGGAAGTTCCATGGGCTGGTGTCCTACCTGTTCCTCTGGCTTGTGTGGCCTGCACATGAGCATGGGCTGACTACCTGAGTTTTGTACTGGAACCTG